ATGACTCCCATTGTGTCCGTCTGTTATTACTAATCTTCTGAACTCCTCTCTGCAGGACCTGGAAGCTTTTGTTAATTTACTAATGTTTATGTTTGTTTAAAAGCCAAAGAGGTGTGCCATTATTATATTATTGAATGAGGGCTGAATAAAAAATCCTGTTTGAGTCAAACCTGTTTACAGTATATTTCTTTTAACGCATAGTCAACTCATCCCCTTGCACAAGTGATTTATGTTGTCCATTACAATATCAATCTGGAGTAGATAACACAAATTGCATCATTTTAATATGATCAGATATTTAAACATTGGTTATTTAACCATGTTTCATATTTGCACATGAAAAGTAACTAAGTGCATTTATTCAAGTTCTGTGCTTAAATACCTTTAGTATTTCTATTTTATGCCACCTTCTGCTCCTACCCCACTACACTTAAAAGATGAATATTGTTCATTTATTTTAACTCCATACATTCTTATTATAAGCTATAGTTAGTAGTTATTGGCAGACTTATAACTTGTATATTTTATTAGCTTATAATATATGATTGAATGTTGACTAACCAACGAAATGATATAACGTGTCCTGACCATTGACTGTATATATGAGGTCCTAACCAACTATCTGACCTCTTCTTACACATTAATGCAAGAGTGATAATTAAATAATACACATATTAATATAGCACTTCCAAAAAATAAATAAAAGGTTAAAGAGTCTGACAGATGTTGAATGAATGATGAAGGACCTGCGGTAGCCCACTGAAGAACATCTGTACCATAGTAAAAGATCTGCAACCTTACGGCAACAATACTTAATAGCATGAGTGGTTTATTTTACAGTTTTCTATATTTATACGATTAATGATGTGCCAGCTCAATGATTCTTTGTGTGCGTACCCAAACTTCAATGTGTAAATGAATATATTCAAAATAACCCAGACACTGAAAGACAAATAAAAAAGTATAAAGTCTAGAAAATCGTCATAATATAAAGATAATAAATAAATAAATATATCGTGATGCCAAACTCATTCTCGCCAAATAATGGTATAACAGCACATATATTATATATTAAAAAAGACTTTGTGAGCTGTATGAA